GAGAAATTCGCAAAAACCAAAGGATTATACACAAGTTAATAAATAATATAAAATAATCATGGTTTTGAGGGACATAACCAGGAAATACAACAGAATATGTATACCTAGGGTAACTATTGAAGGCAGATTGGAATCTTACTTACAAAAGGCATTGTTTGTCTGTCTTTCTCTCTATGTGTGTCTGTGTATGTGTGTGGCCGAAACTTGCGAAGGATTTGACTTGCAAACCGTGGGGTTGACGTTTAAACAAAGTACCCAGGAAGCACGCCATAAGCCCCGTGCTGAGCCAGCGCTCTTCCGATTTCGCGTCCGTCACCTTTAAAGTAGTTTAATTAACGATGTAGTGCTGTTTTCGGTTATTAATTTCTTACATAGTGCGTGCTCGACCCTACCAAGAGTCACATGCGTTCGGTGGGGGTGGAGGGCCCCTACCAACTCACAGACGTTCGGTGGGGGGGGGGGGAGGGCCCCTACCAACTCACACACGTTCGGTGGGGGGGGCCGCTACCAACTCACACACGTTCGGTGGGGGGGGGGGAGGGCCCCTACCAACTCACACACGTTCGGTGGGGGGGGGCCCTACCAACTCGCACGCGTTCGGTGGGGGGGGGGGAGGGCCCCTACCAAGTCACACACGTTCGGTGGGGGGGGGGGGGGAGGGCCCCTACCAACTCGCACGCGTTCGGTGGGGGGGGGGAGGGTCCCTACCAAGTCACACGCGTTCGGTGGGGGGGGGGGGGGCCCTACCAACTCGCACACGTTCGGTGGGGGGGAGAGGGGAATTCTCATTCGTGTGGACACTGCACAACGTAACACACAGATTTACAGCTCCCTTCAAACATATATTACCATGACTGTTTACTCATTACGAATTGACTTTTATAGGTAAGCCGATTTAATTACAGGGATGAACCAATGTGTATGAAGAATAGCCTTTTTTCGATACTCTTGAGGCATAAGCAGCCACGCAATATCACTTACTGCACAGAGGGCAAACCAATAAATATACTCAATTACGTCTTCATTCTATCATATTTACACTTGCCCCCTCAGTACGGAGGTTGAGCAGTGACGTTCAGTCAATTACGCTTGATTGGTGCGCATCTGCTCATAGTTACAGGTAGGTGAGGTTAATTTTGTATTCGTTGACTTTCATTCATTTGCCGCTCTTGCTCGCGGCAAATGTTTGCACCAAAATGGCGCAACACCCTCGCAGTCGCTCCTAATTACTTATTATACACGCGTGCATTTCCCCCTCTCCCTTGCTACTTTCAATAAAGTTACGTACATAGAAAACTATTATTTACAAACTTATTTTGTCTAGATAAAAGTTAGAGTGTGCGTGTGTATGTCCATGTGTGCGTGTGAGTCCATATATGTGTGTGCGTTGTGTCTGTGCGAGTCCGTGTGTGCGTCAGTGTGTGTGACTGTCGCTGTGTTTGTTTGTGTACGTCCATGTGTGTGTGCGGTGTGTGTTTAAGTCGATGTGTGTGTGTCAGTCGATGTGTGTGTCTTAGTCGATGTGTGTGTAAGTCCATATGTGTGTGTGTCTAAGTCCATATGTGTGTGCGTAGTTCCATGTGCGTGTGGGTCTTTGTATCTGTGTGTTTAAGTCTATGTGTGTTAGACGATGTGTGTGTGGATCCATGTGTGTCAGTCGATGTGTGTGTACGTCGAAATGTGTATCTGCGTGAGTGCCATGTGCACTTGTAAGTCAACATGTGTGTGTATATAAGTCGATGTGTGTCTGTACGTCAATGTGCGTGTGTAAGTCCACGTGTGATTAGTCGATGTGTAAATCCATATGTTTGTGTGTGTGTAGTTCCACGTGTGTGTGAGTCTATATGTGTGTGTGTGTCGATATATGTGTGCGAGTCGATGTGCGTGTTAGTCATCAACCGTGGAGATGAAGTAATGATATCACGTAATGTGCAGGAGTCAGATGGACTGTGGAATCACAAGGACCATCAGGAAAGATATTGACATGGGGAGACCTTCAACCAGCAGTGGATAGATTTATATCTGATGGTGAAAATAAATCTACCTTAAAAACCCAGCCGATAACGAATAAAACTATATTAAGTATTACTCTGACTATATATTCAGTATGTGTCATTTCCTTTGCAAGTTATAATGCATCCGCTTGAATTCACCTGGGTAAACAAAAGGAAATCCATTTACAATAAGGTTTGTATGAAGATTTTTTTTATGGCATTTTACCAGCCACTCAGTTCTTGTGCCAAGTGTTACAGTGTGAATCTTAACACCACTGCTCATAACTAATGGGATTAAAACAAATCAACTCCTGCACTCATTGTGTATTGATTTACCAATGCACTTTTTCTTTGTCACTTCTCGCACTGAATTCTAAAACAATGGTAGTGCGCAGAACATTTCCATTTATCATTATTGAATAATACCACATTACAAAATGTTATCACAGGTCATTCAATTCGGTAGGAGGCTGCTCCTTTGAACTACTTAGCTCCATCTACCACATGTGCACTTACTATTTCATCTTTCAATGAATCTACTTAACAGCATTTCATATCACGGTCTTGAAATGATAAGCCTTCAGGGTAAAACAACAAGCTGTTGTGCCTACGCAGCATGTATTTCCAAATAAACTCCGCGTGGTGTTTCTTATGCATGTAACGAGTCACCTCCACCCACCACAATCCCACGAATTGTCAAATGAGTTGAAAACACTATTTGATAAAAAACAGCTTTTGGTGAATATGAAGTGTTCGTCTTGTATGTTTATTCCATTAGAATGAAAGTAACGTGAGCACATAACTACATATAATTGGCATGAACTGTAAATGATTGATTCTTGCGTGTAAGATTCAATGCACAGATCATGAACGTACTAATCGGTTTCACTTAATTATCACGTACCGAATACTTCGACAGCACATGCCAAGGGTTTTTGCAAAAGGACGCTTGTGTTGCGCCCGAAACGTCGTGATTTATTCTATTTTATACCTATGTGACTTTACTGAAAGAACCAAAGAGTATAGGGTAAAAAAAAAGTTCGATTTACAATAACAACCATACCGACCTCCCACCCCACCCAATGCGTATGCACACTTGAATGTACACGTTCTAGTGCACAACCAGATAGCAGCTCTGCTAATCTAATTTTAACAAAAAAATGCACCGCCCACCACCCCCCTCCTTTAAACATTCGGAAGACCAATCGATTAATAACGTCATGTCAGTGGAGAATTTCATTTTGGCCACAACATGTAAATATCCATCTATCTCTTCTATCCACCGTCTGTTGGAATTTGGGATGAAAGGTCCGCTATCTCTGAGCTTCAGCGGAACCCTGCATCACACCGAGCGAGCGAGGAGGCACTGCCGGCTTTTGACGCAAATAAAAAATTAAGCGGCGACACCCCAGCTGATGTATTATTTAGCAGCGACACGGACCACCAGAAGGTCAAACTGGCAGCGTTTTCTTGTAAAAAGTAATGAATGGTTCAGTTTATGGATGAAAAAAGGACCTGTGTAGACATTATGGAATAAAATAATATCAATCAAAAATCTAAACACGTTTAATACAGCTAAATAAATAAATAAAAATCTGCATTGTATTACTGTGTAATTATTTTTTAAAGACAATACCTTGTACATTTATGAGAAGACTCTCTCCAGAAAATGTCAATGTTAAAATTCTACACTCTTATTGAAGGGCAACAGTCATTGACATGTACTTCTGTGAACTGACTGATTTGCAGTCTTTTATTAAACTTCATAAAAGCTTGATTGCAATTCAATACCTAAGCCTGCCATTTGTAAATGTAGTTTGCATAGGTTTGAGAAAGTTATCTGCATATAATTTTCCAATGTGCCGTTTTGTGTAAGAAGGTGCCGGACAATACTTCGTTTACCTGCGCTCATAATGACATTACAGTTGGGCTTATTTGCCAACCAGGTCAGTCTGCGTTGGCAACATGGAAAATATTTCTGAAACCGGTTCACCGCATTGCGTATAACTCGCGCTCTGGATGTGGTTACTAGTCAAGCGCTAACCATCCTGCCTACCAGCTACCTAGAAATAAAGCCCCTGTATTACAGGATTTGATGTCCTCCTTTACAATTAACGTTATATACCATCCTGCAGAAGTAAACAGATGCCCATGGAGAAGGGGATTTTTACGCATTAATCATAAGGTGGCTCGGTAGTGAACTCACCAACTGCTATGTTGACTGCATATGTTACATTCTCTTAATTCCATTTTTTTGGAGTTTCCATTGCTGGCCGATAGTTATTAATCAAGCGTATTTTTCTGTTATGGCATTTTGCTGTTGTTAAAGGCTGCCTGCCCATGTGGTTCTCCACGAATAATAAAAAAACCAATGCCCTTTATTTATCTAGCAAGGCCACGCTTGGCTGCATTATTCATTTTCAATACACCCTTGTTTGGGATATTTTGTTAAAATTGTCTATTACCTCGGTGGGTCAGTGTCAATCACAATTTCCGTGCAGAATGTTAAATGCTGCAACATTTAAGTGCCTATGCAGAAACGGTGTACTGGCTATAAAGCACAGAATATATATTTAATTTATTAGTAACTACGACAACTGTGTTGTCATGAACAGCCACAGGTGAACCGTGCCTTCTGAAATGCCGTGGTTTTTGGTTACAAAAGTACTTTGCTCCCTGTTTTAGTGCCCAGTGTACTGTTGTAGTCCAAGCTACATTTAATTACTGTGCAAAATGACGCACGCACACATGCGCACACAATTTGTATTACTGGGTGCATTCAAATTTAACGTTGAGGAAGATGGGGGCGGGGATTGTTTTATTTTAGTAAGCTCATTGTTACATGAAATAGATTTCTTTACACCATATCGTACACCAGTGTGTGTGTATCCATATACATGCATGCACACATTGTAATATTTACAGTAATAGATGCTGTCAAAAGAAAACCCACACACAAACGTGCATGACGGAACAGCACAGCGGTAACCTATGGCTTGAGCTTACCGGGGACTTGGTGGCTTGCCGCGTAATCTCGGACGCTTCTCAGGTTTTTGACATCCCTTTAATTAAGAAGGGGGGGGATAAGAACAGCTGGAGACACACAAGCACATGGCATCCACACGGACAAAAGCACACGTGTAAATATCTCGTCGTACCTGTTATGCCCCTTCACGTGAGGCTACCTCTTTTCCATTACCATCCCTCTTATTTCCATAATAATCGTTACCACCGTCATCATCAATGCCATCATTATCATCATCAACATCAAACAGAAACCGACTGAAATATTATTGAGACTCGGCGAGGCTTTTTTGAACAAATAATTGGCATAATTATGTCACCATCATCATATTCTCTGCCATTATTATCGCTGTTACCATCGTCATCGCTGTCTTCACCATCACAATGTGTTCTCAGCATGTATCGATTCACCCCTAACCTCCCACCTCCCCACAGGATTTGTATTAATTGTCACGTTTCTGAGCCACAATTTCATATCAAGAATCAATGTTTCAGCATCTCCTTTTTCCAGTCTTATAATGGTAACGTCTCTCGTTTTTTCCCTTATCATTTGTCCAGCTGTGTTTACCGCATTAGCATAAACGTGACATTACCATGTAACTTGCGTATCGTAAATAATTGAATTTCACACGATTTGATGCATGTACCAACGAGTGTAATAATCCATTTAACCAATGAATCAACACATTGTTTGTACGTGTAATGTGCCACGAGGGGTGATTGAGCCAGCCTGATTCTGCAGTCTCAATCAGTCCTTGAGAGAATCCAGGGAACTACTGTGCTATGCACCGAAAGGAAGCTTATATAAAATTGCATGTTTACTTGGTAACATAAGCAGACAGTTTGGTGATGTATTTACTTTCTTGGCAAATTTACATTCGCCTTTGTGTTTTTGTCCCAAGTGTGGATCGGAAGGAATATGTAGTCTCTGCGGGCTCTCGCTTGAGTAAATAAAGGATTGAATGAGAGAGAGAGGAAAAAAAAGCATAAAGGACATTCCGTATTTTCGCTCGCCTCTAGTTCCTGAAACCTAACCACGGGGCTATTATCAGCAGAAGCCGAGCCGCTTGGGAAGCCTTGCAGGTACAGTTCTCTTGAGAAAGTACGACGGGGGGGCGATGCTAAACAAACACGAAATTAAATGACTGATGCAAAGCGTTTATATATACATATACACAGCGTCACTACGTTCCAAGGGGTGCGCGAAGGCTCCATCCACATGGGGCTCAACTCCAGATTTAAAACTACCAAAACAAGTAAAAACAACCAATAAAACCCCTTAGTCAACACCACCCCCACCTCGTTGAATAACCGTGTTAGTCCCAAACAAGACCAGTCAATAGAGCTTCTATTGAACCCAATGGTTAATGCATAATCGTACGTTGAAACGGCACGCTTTAAATTGGAACCGGACAGATGTGGCCAATGCGCGTTGTAAAGGAAATCCCTAGTATTTATTGCAGCTGCGCTGCCAATCATAACGTTATTGTGAAACTGGTGGAGTAACACAAGGAGCGCGCTGCGGGGATTTTGTAATACAACTGCAAATGTGAATTCATCTCGTGTGTGATCTCTTACGGGAGAGGGCGTCTCTTGCATATCATTTTTTTAAAACACAAAACGCCCATCTCTCTCTCGGGAAGAGAGAGAGAGTGGGAAAGAGCGTTGTAGGCCTCGCCTTTCAAGGTTAAAAAAAACAAAAAACACAAATCCCCCCGAATATCCCTGCGTCCTCGACTGAGCGCTCCGTGCTGCTTAGGCAGCAACGGGGTTAGGGGGTCCGCATCGCCATCAGGCGGAGGAGCTGCGCCATCCACGCGATCTTGTTAGGAGGGGGAGAATAATAACAAGCAGCAGCAGCAGCAGCCCAGCCGTCTGCTCTTTATTCTCTTTACCTGCTCCACGTACTGATGATTCGAGGCGACACCCGAGAGCCAACGTGAGGTGTTATGGCACGCATACAGTATTTATATACTGCCGAAACAAACCGGTTCTTTGACGTGCTTACAAACGTTTCATTTCGGTGCGGCAGTGGGAGAATAGTGCTGTGACTTACAGGGTTATAGCTATACCTCCCGAGCAGGTGAATATAATTGAATGTTTAAATAAGAAATTTCCGGTTCAACCTTTACAATTCGCGAAAATAACAGATGGGGAGCGGTGGCGCAGTGGTTAGCGCACCGCGCTACGAGTTCGGTTCCAGACATTGGATAACATCAAGTACGCAGCGACCAGTGTGGTGAAGTATGGTCAAACAAGCTCCATATGTAGTGTCTAACCCATTGCAAAGCGAGTACACAATGCTATCTGCTGGGCTATACACATACTAGGTATGATTCGTGATAAAAGCGAGGAGTTAAAATGTTATGTTCGTTATATTTACGTCTCCTACCACACACAATAACCTTTTTAATCTCGTCAGGTCACTTACCCTCATTGTTAACGTGACACGATGTACAAGATCTTTGTTATTTTCTTGTCTCAAATAGCAAAATCCATTAAATGAAATAAATATAGTTTATACTTTGCACAAACTAGAGTGCAGTATACGCGAATGTACAGTATTGCGAACATAGAAACATGAAAGGCAGTCACTATCTGGACTTTAATCTTTACTGTGCACAGCCACTTACATCTTTGAAGTTGCAGTACTGCACTTCCAAGCAACGTGCGATCATGTAATTATAGTCGGTGTAGAAATGCAGTTTTAATATCGAACTACCCCATAGTTGAATGCGCTTTGTTCATTTACAGCAACAACACACGTGGTGGTGGTGTGAGGGCAAGGCTCGGTGTCAATGTAAACATGTAGAGACGTTAGTTGCACCAAACTAGATCGTGCAAAAATCTCACCGCATTCATTCAATAGCAGCGTGACACGAAAACAGGAAAAACAACGGGCGACGTTTCGGGCAACGGGCCCCGTTTCGCCGTCACAAAGTGTTGAGTATTTCTTGCGTGTGCTTGTGTACAACTGGCAATGCACAAGTATTACAATGTTGTTGTTATTCTTGGTTCTTTCGGTAAAGTCACGTAGAAGGAAAATAATAAAAATATAAAACAAATTTTTTGTTTGTTTTATATTTGTATTATTTTATTATTTCACTTCTAATAATAAAATAATACAAATAAAAAAATCTTGTTTTATATTTGTATTATTTTATTATTTCCCTTCTACGTGACTTTACCGAAAGAACCAAGAATATGAATCCCTGCAGTCACGAAAGCTTTAAATCAAAATGTAATGTTGTTGTTGTTAATAATCAATGATAAAAAGTCCTGCAATGTGTCCGTATTCACAATATTTTGTTAAAATATCTAAAAGCTAACATTCTAAAATACATCAAAGGGTAATAAGGTAACAGCTGTGGCTTCCCATTAGCCCAGGAGCTGTGGGGGTACAACACAGAGAGAGGCCGTGAGTGCCACCAACGCGTTCTCTATCCACTGCTGGGTGATGATGATGATGAGAATGATGATGATGAGAATGATGATGATGAGAATGATGATGATGAGAATGATGATGAGAATGATGATGATGTTGAGAATGAGAATGATGATGACCCCCCCCCCCCCGCTATACTTCACCACATCTGTACACTTTCATCGACGCATTTAAATAGCTTGCATCGACAGCACAAGATGCAGAAGACACATAAGCTATCGGCATGTTCATGTACACCGCTTTGTAAACAAATGTAAACAATACGAATGGAAGAGATTAGAAGTCGCGTAGAGAAGTGACCGCAACGCACACGCACTTTATTTGTGTTAACGCATAAGCACAAACAACACTAACATCGGTCAGTGACGCTCACCTTAAAGGAAACACACGTCTATTAACCGACGTTTCGAGCAATGACCCTTCTTCAGAGCCCACAGACACTTTGCCATTTAAACCGAACAAGAGACGCGAGCAGGACACGCGCAGTTCCTTCTTACCTGCCTCACAACTTTCGCTGCGCACTTTTCAAAAAACGCTTTCAAAACTGAGGGAATGTCGCCGCCTCCGATGCCGACACTAACCGAGCGGTTTGCCTTTAAACGTTTTGCACTGTGACTGTGACCGTCTTTAGTGTTAGAACGGCGCCGCGGTTTCTTATTAAACCTCCTCCCCCCGTCACGCGTGGAGTGGCCGCGAGGCGAGAACTGAGCGCGCGCGCTCGAAGCGACGCGAACAACGGCGGCGCGCGCTCGCTCGCTATGCCCCTCCCCCACTCACCCCCACCCCGCCCCTCCAACCCACAGCCCCTCCCCCCCATCCACCCCGCCCCTACAACTCAGAGCCCCTCCCCCCTATCTACCCCGCCCCTACAACACAGAGCCCCTCCCCCCTATCCACCCCGCCCCTACAACACAGAGCCCCTCCTCCGGCCAAGCCATCACCCCTCCCCCATCCACCCCGCCCCTACGACCCAGAGCCCCTCCCCCCCATCCACCCCGCCCCTCCAACCCAGAACCCCTCCCCCCCATCCACCCCGCCCCTCTAACCCATCACCCCTCCCCCATCCACCCATAGCCCCCGCCCCCAATCCCCCACACTTCCCCCGCTCCCCCGCCCAGTACCCCCCCTCCCCACTCCGTCCATTCCCGACCCCGCTGTCCCCCCGCCCCCATCCGATAGCCCCTCCTTCTTGCTCTGCTCCCATTGGCCAGTCGTCGCTATTAACATAACGCACACCCAGGAAGGCGTGACCCGACGGAAGGATTAACCAATGGGGTGCAGCTCCTAGCCTCGTACTTCTTATTGGTTGATAATTAACATAATTTATTACCGTGAAAGACCGTAGAGGGGGCAGGCTTCAAATCTAGAAAGGAGCAGGACAGCTTTGACTCATTGATCACCGGCCGTGGTCCATCCACAGCTGGATGAAGGCCTCCCCCACTCTCGCGATCTTGGCGATGTTTTTACCCGCCCAGCACCCGCACATCCACCTCCCTTTCATGGCTCCATCTTCCTCAATGGACGTCCGATCGGAAACGTTCCAACCCCCTTGGCTGACACTTTCCGCAGTACCTGTGCATGGAACATTGGGGGCCAACGTCAGTCCGACAACTTGTCAACGTCGCCCCAACGTTGCATGTTTACCGAGTCGTCACTATGCTTGGTCCGTCGGCCATCATCCCCTTCTAAAGTCGTATCTCTTCAACCTGCATTTTCATTCTAAAACTCGGAACTAACAATGCGATTCGCCTGCTGGTGAATACTGCAAGCAGTGCACTCTCAAAGTTTACTTTCGTACTTGGTTTGACCTGTGATGCCGGCCTACTCTTCCCCGAACCCGCGTACGCCCTCCACTCCACGTGTTCCGCTCTCTGCCTCGCATTGCAGCCGTCCATCGTCGATCCACTGCTGGATGGAGTCCTCGCCGCACGCATCGATAATTTAACGGAGTTCGGGAGCGACAGTCAAAGCATTGGGACGTTGAGAACGCGTCAGAGAGAGAGAGGAACATCCGCCCGGTGGAGACGGAGCGGTGAAGTCACCTCGTGTTGGCACGATGCTGGCTGGATTGCTACGTTTGCTCCAATCTGTCAGTGGATTGATGATTTATGGCTGATTATTTATTTAACGCTCACTTTAAACGGCCTCGCTCGTGATTGGTCAAGTCATGGGTGTAATTATTTTGATTTTCTTATCCTCGGAACGTTGCGCTCATTCTATTGGCTAAGACTTGTCAATGTTATGTGGGGTAATTAACATAATTTAATCCCAGTTTTAAAAGAGGGGGGGGGGTCCAGGTTTATATTATCATAATGTATGCGCTGTTCTCGTCGCCGATTGGTTCGAATTAACTGCCGTTGGTCAATAAATTATTACAGTCACCCCAGTGGGGAACGGTGACCACGACGGAGCGAGAGAGCACGTGAGACGATTGTTCAAGATTTTCGCGGTTCTCCCCGGCAGCCGCACTGGTTAATACCAGTTAATACCAGTGCGGACGTCGGGGGAAATTACGTGCCCGTCAGCTTTACAATAGACGTTAAAGATTGTGTACATACTCTTTGGTTCTTTCAGTAAAGTCACGTAGGTAGAAAAATAATAGATCACGACGTTTCGATCGCAACACAAGCAATCGTCATCAGGTGGGACAACCACAGCAAGAAAAACTGCTGAAGTAGGCGAGAGATCTGCCGTGGCACGAGGTTATATAGGCCTCGGCAGTAGGAGGGAGAGAGAAGGGGTGGGGGTGACAGGGCATAAAGTGGACGCACGCCACCCGCACGCACACACAAGCCTCGAGCAGGAGAACGAGAAGAAGAGACACATTGACACTACACATGTACTCATTGCATACCTCTCAATCCCTTGTCAGTGCTTATCTTATTTTAGATCAATTCAGACCTTATTGGTCAACCCGTGCCCTTATACATCTCAACGTTCATCCTATAAAGTGCCATCACAAAGGAGAAACACAAATAAATAAACCAATTTTTTTGACCCCTATTGAAACGGCTGTGCGCCGTATGGACCTGAAAACTAAATTTTCCCTGTACAATAATACGGGGTAAACCGTATGGGTTGACAGCTATTTTATTGTGTGCCGGCATCACGGTTCCAATGTGTCACATTTGAAAATGACTACAACAACAAAAATGTATACTCACAAATTACTAACATTGAAATAAACCACCTCGCAATATTGCCCGCCCCTACTGTGGCACTTAGCAGAACGTTCCACAAGAACGAGTCTTGAGACTCGGGGAGGCTTTCCTGGGTCACGTTTGCAAAGTTGATTCGACCCATCATCCCTCCGGGGCCAATACAATTAATCTATACCATTTAATCGCAAGTCAACAGTGATTGTCCTATGGACAGTCTCGCCCTCGCCCTCGGAATGTGGAATATCCACCACTGACTCAGCGAGACTGTACACAGACGAGTACCAATGCCTCAATAAATCACTCTTATTTCGAATTAATGAGCATCATTGATACAGGTTGATGCTGGCCGGCTGTCTGATTTCTCACAGCAATGAGTGCGATTAGCTTTCCAAAGGATGATGATTATGATTCAGTGAGTAGATTTTGCTCCCAAAATATATTGTTTGTCTTGTACGGTGCAAATTGGAAGGGAAGGGTGTGGTGGGGGCTTATCTGGCTCGGGGGGGGGGGCAACCCCGACACCCCACCCCCTACCCCTGCACACGTTAAGTAATTTTATTCCATTATTAAATGAGTTGCACTTCAATAAAAATGAAGAGCGCCGTTAATATTACAGCTGCGTGCTCCCCGCGAACGCGGAAACCCCGTCGCAATCATTCCACCAGCACATGAACGAGGGTGGTTTTTTTGTTTGTTTTTTATTGTTGTTGTTGCAGCACCATCCACACGATACGATGACCGTCCGCAGGCCAAAGTACCCCCCCCCCCCCCAGTTCAGTGAGTCTTAACCTGGGGTGCACGCACCCCCTGACGGTGCGAGATGCCCTTTATGGGGGTGCGAGACATAGCCAGATTTGTTTAGGTCAATCATCGAAACATTAATTAAGCACGGGCACTTAAGTACAATTACCTTGTTTCATCAAAAGCTATGTATTTATTAACATTATAAAAAAAATGTTTTACGATTGTGAACCAAAGGAGTGCCAGGCTACAGTAAAGGCTAAGAACCACTGCCCCAGTTGCAAAGCCCATCTACTAGCAGTGGCGCGACTGAGCAATTGCAGGGCTGTACCTTTAACTCTATGGCCAAATCGCCCAGAATGGAGTAGCGTGTGCTCCGACCAGCACACGCACAATGGGGCTGTCATTGACTTCTGCCATTGAGCAAAAAGCAGTGCAGAAAAAACATCCATGGTCATACGATACTTCTACGCGCCCATATCTACACAAAGTCAAGCAGCAACATGGGGAGGCCCTCATCCAGCAGTGGATTTACAAGAGGCTGTACATTTGCCAGCGTATAAGGCAGAGTAGCCAATTACAATGTGTACTGTATTAAGCACCGTCTCTGTAGAGAGTGCCGTGTTTTGGTTGGACTGTAAAGACAAGGCGAGAGAGACTGCTCTCCGATTGTTTATTGACATTACTCGGCTTGATGAGCTAATCATCTCAGCGCTAAACATGGCGCTGGATTCACATGTTCAGAGATGTGATCTTACTAGCCTGTTATGCAGGAGGTTGTGGATTCGATCCCGAGACCTTGACGCCTGCTGTGTACTTGGGAGTTTGTGTGTCTCCCCGTGGTCGCATGGATTTATCTCCGAGTCCTCCGGTTTTCCCTCCACATTTCGAGTCAACATTTCGCTACTGATATAAATGGCCACGTGATTTTAAGTCACTTCGTTGAGCTATAATCTGTGGCTAGGTCGCATCTGAAAAAGAACGACTACTCGGTGAGCTTCAGCTGGTAAATGAAGTCGTTTTAAACGTATTTCATTGATAAAATACGGCGGCAGGGTTGGCAGCGCTGTAGGAACACCCGTACTGCCTCGCAGCAAAAAGGGACTCGATTCAATTCCCCCTCTCGAGCACCTTTCAGCGTGTAATTTATATTATTTCCCCCTGCTTTGCATCGCTTTCCTCCAGCTTCTCTGATTTCCTCCCATGGTTATAAAAAAAACAATAATGATACACTGGCCAAGACGCACGCATGCGTGGGGTGATTAAACATTTTAGAGGTTAAGTAGTCAAGGGGGGCCCCTATGAAGGATATTAATTGAAGGTACACGACATCATGACTTTCCCCCCGATGCCCAACAGCCATCTCCACCAAAAGCCTCCCCGATCTCCCATGGCGCGTGCCAAGCTGGTGGACTGCCAGGACGTCAACCGTACGAAACAGCTGCTGGAAAAGATCATGAAACAAAACATTAAAGGGGCCACGCCAGCGGTCGTGGCTCGTTTCAAGCAATGACACTTGTACAGTGAATTGTAACTCAATCCTCACGCTAAGCGTTTCGACCGTAGCCGTTTTGACCCAGACACAGGGCCTCGTGACGGGCGCGTCGTGTCCCAGAGAAGGCGTCAAAGTCGACTTTGCAATTTGGCGGGGTAATTTCTTTTTTTCTGACGCTGAATACCCAGAACATTTAGAGGCGGCAACACAGGGCAAATTCCCCTCTCGATTCATATGAACATTTTGGACGGCGAATATAACGTCCTTACAATACAGTATTCTTTAAAATGGGATACATTTGCCCACTGGCTATACTTAATACGTAATCACTTCCTCACATCCGCACTGATGATCCGA